CTCTCTCTCTCTCTCTCTCTCTCTCTCTCTCTCTCTCTCTCTCTCCCTCCCTCTTTCTCTCTTTCTTTTTGATTTTATATTTTAGTCGGTATTCCTGCATATCTTTTTTCAGATATTTGTCGAAGCATTGATTGCCGTCAGGGTTAAGAAATAATATGTTAAAAGAGAATTAAACTGGAAAGAATACTTTAAAATATACGTCTTTAGTTAAAGAGATGGGGCTTTTTTCTTGTTTAAACTTTTTGAAAAATTGGATAAAAATAGTTTGTAGTAAAATTAGATAGTGGTTAGTGTTTTTTCAAGTTCAATTCAAGTTTTCAGTTTTAATAGTCGTCATTTTATACAAAAAATGTAAATTTTGCAAAACTCCTGTGCTTAATTAAAGACACAAAGATATATTAAAGAAATTTTCTTCATTTTTTAGGATTTCAGATTAGTAAAGAGTGAGTTATTTTCTTCACCACTCGAGAAGAAATTTCACGATCTATTAATAGCAACCTATCGTTGCTATTAATGTATCTAAGAAAATTGTTTTCTTTTTTTAATGAAATTTACACAATTTATTGTTTAAGTGTTACTTAATAATGATATGAGAATAAATTGTTTGTATAACCGTCTTTGTAAAATAAAATTATTTAAATAATTCATTTTCCTATTTTCCGATTCGTGGCATTTCCCGTTAGAACTCGTTTACACTAATAATAACACTGTTAATAATGTGTGTCTTTAATACTGTTATCGACAAATGTAAAGCTATAACATAGAAGTACTGAAAACAATCGTTTTCAACAAGTTGTCAAAACAAGCTAATCAGATTTCGTTATTAATTTTGTCATTTTGGAAGAAAAATTGCTAATTACATTTATCTCCAATATTTTACAGGTAATAAGTGTTAATGACAAAAAGTATTTTTTTTTTGTTAAAACGCTGGTAACTTTGTCACCAATATTGTCAATAACATTATTTTTATAATCCCTCATTTTGCGCTCTCAAAGGATGTTGATCAAAGGATGTTGATAGCAAATATTATTAACAACATCATTTTTGTCAAACATTACTATTAGCAGTATATGATAAATAACATTCCTAATTTTGTTCTTAATATTTGTGTACTCCACACATTGTCAAAAATATATTTTGTTAAACACATTTAGTAAATGACTTTTTGAGAAATATAGTTTTACTAAAAACGTTTTGTTATTAGCTTTTGACTATTTTTCCGGCATAAACCGATTTTTACTTGTGACACTATCAATGTTATAAACTATTTTTCAATAACGACTTGGCAACTGCATTTTTTTATTTCTTTCCGTTATACTAATACTAATTACGCTTCTTGAGTTACGAATAATTTTTTAAAATAAAAGTAATGATAAAGAGTTATTTCTAAGAAGTAACTTTCCCTAACTATTCTAACATTCCTTAACTTTCTGCTTTAACGCCATTGCTTTATAAGCTTTTTTAGTAAAAATTTGGTGTTTTTTTTTTTTTATCTTTCGTTAGTAACAGAAATTATAACAACTCGTTATTTTTTAAAATAAGTAACGAATGACGGTAACGAGTGATTTTTAAAAGTTTTATAACATTTTATATAACAATTTTATTCTTCCGCAAAGGTTCAAATTATCGCATTCAGCATCCAGGCTGTTAGCCTACTATTTTTACTAGTTGTTTACCATCAGAGCACTCAATATCTTTGTTTGTTTGACTTTAAAAACTAATTTGTCTGTCTCCAACCGTCGCTGACAGGATTCACAATGAATTTAAAATGAAACGAGCATCGACAGCACTTAATATAAGTTCGTGTAGAAAACAATATCATATTCCATCTCTTCATATTTCTCACCGCGCTTATATAACATAAGTTACATTAACGGCAAGTGAATTCAACGATTGTCGCGCGATTGTTCCGTCAAAGAGCTTCGTCTCAAAAAGACCCTGTATTAACATATGAAACGAGAAAGAGAGACGCGCGACGGGTCCATTCGTCGCATCGCTCAGTTGAGACTCAAAGAAATGGAAAGTCTTTTTATCTACGATATTGTTGCGTGTGCTGGTGTTGACTGGAGCGACTCGTCTCAAACTCATCGCGATGATAAACACTCCGACAAGTGTTCGAACAAAATATGCTTTTCCTTTCTAGGCCGGACGTCGATTAACGCGAGACTTCTAATATATGGGTGCGGCATCTCGTGATAAACCGTCCAAAAAATTGCAGTCCATCACACGCTTCAAATCTGCTGCAGCTGCTGCACTGAGAGAAAAAGTATTTAAACGTTAAAATATATTTATTTGCGCGGTGGCCTATTTAATTGAATTTAAATTTTTTTATTTAAATGAAAATATTATAAAAATTATGAAAATTTGAATGAAATATTGAAATAAAAAATTGAAATGAAAAAATGGAATGAAAAACATTATAAAAATTTTAATAGAATATACAATTGCTTCTATAAAAAAAAACTATAGTTTTTAGAAAATTTATATTCTTCCATTTGAACAAAATTTTTTCATTATAAAAATATATATGTTAATATAAGTAAATATAACAAATTAAGTATTAATAAGCAAATTAGTATAAGTAAATATATATATGTGTGTGTGTGTATGTGTAATATAAGTAAATTTCTGTTATTATTACTTATATTCTTTTATATTCCAGATACTTTTCTCCAATTATGCTGTTGCTGCTTTCTAAAAATTTCGGATGTATTGGCAGACATTTCTAGGAAATCTCAAATTTGCTGAATATGATATTTTCGCGCTCGAGTAAAGTTTGAATCAGGTATTTCATCTCGGCAAGAATATACAAAGCGACATCCATGGGCGTATTTTATAAAAAGCAAACGAATCTTCGCGAGTTAGTTTTAAAGAGCAAAAAAATGTGGTTGACCAAATTTAGTCTGGCGCTTAATTTAGGTCAACTTTCGCGGAAATAACGTTCAAGGCTCAGTTTAGCGAGAACGTTGAACTCGTAAATCGTGTGGACATTAGTCATGCGGCTTTGAAAAGCGCGAGGGAATTAGTTACAGATCGCGGATCTCATAATCGACCGGTATCGCGCCGTCGGTAGAGTTGTGGGAATAAAGAGTTCACTGTTATTACCTGTTAATTTCAGCCTATCCTATCATTAAACGCGCGAGTAAAAATATAGGTGAACATTGATCGATCGATCGCCGAGTCGCTTTGAGACCGATCGGTTCGACGTACCGTCGAACGATCTCCGTCGTTTCAGTTGCGCTTTTAAAAATACAACTAATAAGCCTGTTAAAAATTTTCATAAACTCTTTTAATTGCTACGTTTTAATTCTATACGAATATATAATATAATATAGCAAGATGTAATATTTTATAAAAATAAGATCCATTAAAATCATTTTAATGGATCTTTTTTAAATTTTAATTGAGTTAAACAAATTCAATTTCAGAGTTAAATGTCACAAACTAACTGCTCTAATTTTTCTAACAGAATTTTGGTATTATTTTAATTTTTTGTTCTGTAAATTGTGACTCAAAATATGGGTTATTATTACCCACAAGAGGATTTCAAAACAATCCAGCACATTATTGACCATACTTATTTTTCGATTTATTTATCTTCTACCAGAAGTAAACTGGTTACTCATATTATGCAGTAAACACTTCAAGAAGACATTTATATTATATGGAACAACTACGTTTCAATTTCATTTAACCATTTATTTTTATGTTCGCTTATTTGTAACTTTTATTGTTAATTACACAATTTATTTGATTTTTTATTTTAAATTTCATTTAATTTTGCAATTTATAATTTTGCAATTTATGGTTTTACAATTTGGTTTTACAATTTATTTCATTTTTTATTTCATAGTTTATTTTACCTTAGTTGATTCCTTAATTATGCACTTTATTTGATTTTGTGATTTTGCAATTTATTTAATTTTATATTTAATTTTTTTATCTTTCGAAGTTTATTTTATTTTATTTTATTCAATTTTTTATTTCATAGTTTATATATATATATATATATATATATATATATATATATATATAAACTATGAAATATATGTGTGTGTGTGTGTGTGTGTTGATTCTTTGTGTTTTTTTGTGATTTATTTGCTATTTACTCTTGATTTTATAACCTGAATAGGTCAGCTTGTTGATTTAGCTCGATCGTAGTTTGTGCGGCAAAATTTACGCAATTCCGAGGTTTAACTCTTTTCACTTGATTTTTTGCTCAGTTTACAATAACTTTATCGTCAACATTATTTTGATGAGCGCGATAAATTCAATTGAATGATGAAAATAAGCACGATCGAGTTTTATTTTAGACGATTTCATAATATCGCGGTAATTGCTTTTAGAAATAGAGATTAGCGCGATAGGAGATTAATCCGGCCACGGATTATATAGCTCGCGAGTCGTTTCATGCATCATAAATGTGCTCAATCGACTTGACTGAAATTAACGAAGTAGTTCGTCGATAGCATCTGCGGGTCTTACGCAATAATTGCGTAAGTCAGTCGCGTTATTTACTGTATTAATGAATTATCGACTCCGGCATCCTTCTCTTCTTCCTCCTCCTCCACCTCCATTAAATCCGTCCTTTTGGATTCGTGGAAGCGCGACCGGATTTGGCGCGCGACGAAAGAAAGCGAGAGATCTGCGAGGACGATCTCCCGCGGAGGATTCCGAGGACACACTGCGGGATCACGAGAATCGATCCGCGGATCTGTAACCCCTAATTATCCGCACTAATTATGACTAAGGTCTCGATCCGTCGGCGCGTCTCGCTGGGTCCTTGTAGCGAAGGGTGGGATGAGCCAGCTGGGTCTCTGGTGGGGACCATTTCTATATAATCGACGGTGAAGGTGCCCGTCTCTCCATATCCTATCAGTGACCACGTTTCTTTAACCGTCATCTTCCACGTCTATCCTTAGTTTTCCAAGAGACAAGTGATACAAGGTGAGTGCCGAAATTGTACGTCGAAATCGTCGTCGTCTTCGTTGTTGTCATTGTTGCTGTCGATGTCGCCATCGACGTCGTTGTTGAGGATCGAGACTTTTGCGACATCATTTCGGTGAGTTCAAATTTCGATGCTACGGACGAAAGGCGAGAGACTCCGCGTGCCTACGCGACGATTCAAACACGACGGTTCGGTGAGATACACTTTCCTTCATCCGCAGCATCGAAAATTGAACTGAGCGAAATCCGATCCCAACTTGACAACGAAGCTTCTCGCACAAACACACGTACACACGCGTGCCCAAACCCCCTGCAGATCCGTTGAAGCGTTTCGAATTTACTTAGCTCCTCGATGTTATTTTCGTGCTGAGATCCGAATGCAAATTAGATCTGTCCTGCTTCTCGATGACGTTGACCGGAGAAATTTCCGATCGATCGCGTCGCGTCGCGTTCCGGCGAGTCGGCTGACGTGACAGATGATATCGCCGGTGAGAAAGACAGGAAAAGAAAGGACGGTCTTGCAGCTTCGTTAGACGAGACACTCCCCAAAAGAAACCTCTGTCGATGGAAAGGAACCGAATGTGTCCGCGCAGTGTGTCGCGTACCTGCATGTCAACGGCGTTATGTATGAACGAAACTCTCACCGGCTGTCCCGCGCGCGATCGCAATAAGCCGCGATGAAATCGCGAGGTCCGAACGACTAAACAGATATTTCAATGAACCGGCAACCCCGTTAAGGGGACGGAGGGTCGGATTGTTTAAAAATCGTGTTTGTTTCACAATTCTTTATGACAAGCTGAATGAATATGCGAAAATGTTATTTTGACGTGTATTTATACAACATATAAAGAAAAGAAAAATATAATTTTGATGATCAAATACTCAATATAAGTCTATGGTACATATAGTTAAAATATATTTCGTTTTTCTTCTCAAGATCGTCATTTTGCAGTAATATCTTGACTCTCGGTGGTTCAATTAAGCTGAATTTTAGGTAAAAAATTTCCGTAAGACTGTCGTTATCGTATGAACCACTGACAAACTCTTGAAAATATTTAATTTTGAAATGTTAATTTTTTTACTATGAAAGAACTGAAAATTTAATAATATTCCATTAAGATATTTGCAATTTTGTTAACTTTTATTCAATTTCTATTATAGTAGTTCACACGATAACGACAAGCTTATGGAAATTTTCTACGTAAAATTCAGCTTAATTGAATCACTGAGAATCAACTTATTACTGCAAAATGACGACTTTGAAAAGAAAAACGAAACATATTTTAACTGCATGTACCATACATTTATATTGAATATTTGATCATCAAAATTGTATTTTTCTTCTCATTATATGTTGTATAAATACACGTCAAAATAACATTTCCATATTCATTCAGTTTGTCATAAAGAATTGTGAAAGAATAAGCACAATTTTCAGGCAATCTGAAAATCTCCTTCCAGTCTTCTTAATGCACGTACGCGTACACACACACTTGTTGACGGTTTGCAGACGGGGTTTTATCTCGCAGGAATCTCGAATGATCCTTGAAAAAAGAAGTTCATTTCTTTTATTGATACGTAAGATGTGACAAATTCTGGACGCGACAATGTCTTGCGCATGATAACGTTTCTGTTTACGCTAACCACGATTAGCAGTGATAATTGGTCATATTTAATCCACTAACGCCCAAATGTGTTGAAATTTTACGTTGATTTGAGCCATTTACTACGGAAATGAGGTCTGTTGTTTATAAAAGGTCCCTTTTCTACCAATTTCGATGTCGCTCTTTTACTATATATTGTTTTACTATATAATTATGTAATTTTGTAGTAACATTGAACCTAAAATAATTTCGATAACCAAATATAAACGAAAATTCGAATTAAACGCTTTGAATCAACCGTCATTTTGGTACTGCCATGTTTATTGAAAAAAATGTCCATGGCATATTTTTTAAGTTAAAGTGTCACGTTTTAAACGAGTGATACAACACGTTTTTGTGGAGAAAATAGCGGAAGAAGAAAAAATTAGCTTTGGCAAAAACTATGCGTTCTTTTATTTTATTATGCAAAAATTATGCATAAATTGCAATTTTTTAAAAATTTTCTCAAAGTTATTCGATAGAGCAACATCGAAATTGGTAGGAATGGTGCTCTTTATAAACAAGAGACCTCATTTCCGTAGTAAAATAAATGGCTCAAATCAACGTAAAATTTCAGCACCTTTGGACGTTAATGGGTTAATTTGCTTGTCTTTTCAATTTTCCATACAAAAAATTTTCACCATTAGTTGTGAAAGATTGTGTTCGAGGCTCTTCGATTTCTCCTGCCTACTGTTGTCTTGTAAAATAAAGAGGAGAGCGTGAACGGAGAAGCACTCGAGTGAAACGTTCAAGTTCACGACGCAACTTTTTACAATATCAGTCGCAAAAAGAAATGCACACAGAAAAATGCGTACTACATTCAAATAAATGTCACTTGTTTATATATGTCACAAGTTTATATACATTCGCAAATCTGTCATAAGTTCATCATAAGTACCAAATTTATTCAAAATATATTCTGAATTCAAGCAAGTTTAGCATTTCCATGAAAAGTATTAATCCTTTTTGGCAGACTTAAAAACATTTAAAGAAAAAAATTGTTGGTGTTTTAATGAAGTAAATTATGTCTGTTGAATGTCAATTATATATGTTATTGTACATTTTCGAAATAATATGTTTTTCATAAAAAATACATTACGTTGCTCGTATGTCAAAATCGAAACTGCTGAGACACCGACGAACAAAACAGGCAAGTTGCTTCAGACCTACAGTGTTAAATAAGTGCGTCCTGTATTCACCGTTCTTGCATATAACTCATGAGAAATCGATGTTGCTTGAAAGCAGCACATAATGTCAAAAAGAGAAGGTTAATTTAAAATAAAAATTCTGCTCGCTTACTTACATAGAGTCAAACTAACTTTCTCTTTGATAAAGATATATAATATTCTTGTAAAAAGCATAATTGCTTCTTTTGATTAAGTAATAAAATAAGCTCTTCTCAAACATGCAATGAGTATATTTTAAGTCTATTATCAAAAACATGTTTTTCGTTAAAGGTAACTATTACTTCGAAGAGAGAAAGTAAACTGAGTAAAAACTGCGTTTTTGCAGTAGAATGACACTTTTTGTGTATATATAAATATGACTAGATATAATAAACTTCTAAAATACATCTAAGTAAATAAGATGTCTTTTGGACATCTTAAAGACATTTTTTAGAAGGTTGTCTCTCTCTCTTTTTTTCTGTGAATACTTCATATAAATATGCTGTACACAGAGAGAACGATTTGGTTGAATTAAATAAACACTTCTTTGAAACAGTCCAAACAAATGTTTTGATTGATCGAACAAAATTTTGTTGGACGTAACAAAAATATTGATTTGCTTAATTCCAAAGAAATACTTTTGTTGTGTCCACCAAATAATTTGTTTGGACTATTCCAAAGAAACATTTATTTGATTCAATAAATCGTTCTCTCTGCGTACGAGGAAATTGTGTCCGTTTGTAGTAAGAATTACGGAAGCTAATCTAAATTGCATGAAATAAAGCTGTTCTGCGTACCGTAATGCAACATAATAACCAATATCTGTCATTCTGCGCGATGATTCTCCAGATGATGCTGGTGCCGCTGGCCCTAGTGCTGTTCGCGGCGTTCGTCAACGCCGAACCGGCGATCAATGAGGCTCGACCGCACGGCAACAAACCTGGAAGATTCCTGTCTCTTCCGATAGCCCAGAAGTGCGCGAACCGTAAGTATCTGCCGCACTGTGTTATTCCCATGGTGCGCCCGTGACGGGGCAAAATTACTCCTGTCCATCGCGATGCTACTGTTTATCGCGCGGAGAGAACGACTGAATCAAATAAATGTTTCTTTGGAATGGTCGAAATCAATTTTTTGATTGACACGACAAAAAAATGTTTTTGGAACTAAGTCGCAAATAAATATTTTTGTTAAGTAAAATTTTGTTCGATCGATCAAAAATTGTTTGGACTGTTCCAAAGGAATATTTATTTGATTCAATCAAATCGTTCTCTCTGCGCACAACATTAGTCTGCATTATCTTATCTACTTCTCGTTTCGGGGCTCCAAGAAATTCCAGAATTAACGGATCCAGCTACTCGTTGCGTGAAGCAGAATGAAAATAGCGATTTAATGTTACTACAGCGCTACGTAATGCGCTGTTGGTTACGTTTACACGCGATCTCCGCGAATAGATTTTTCGCTTGTCCTTTGATTGGTTGTGATAATACGCGGAGGATAATAGCCTCGGAGGTTGTAGTTGTTTCATGATTACTGAGAGAGACACGCGATCGATAGAGGGTCGATCAACTTTCTGTGATCTCTCCAATTCGTCGTAGTCGACGTTAGATCGACACAAGAGATTCGTCGCGCACAGAAAGAAAACTCTTCAATAGAGTTGATCAACAGCCTTGCAACTGGAGTAAAACTTTCTTGACTTTAACAGCAATATCATTGAACTAATACATCACGTATTGTTTTAATAACTCGCGTATTAGCATCAGTGATATTGCTATTGAATCAAGAAGGTGTACTCTAGTTGCTGTTGGCCAATTTTATTGTACTTTGTTTTAATAGTATTTTTGTACGCGTGTGTTTTTCAAGTAAAATCGAACATGAGATTACGAAAAACTTGAGAAACTTTTTATTCTCAAGTAACACAAAGAATTGAAAAAGAATTGAAAAAGAATTCAGTCGTATGTCATCAATTCTGAGTTTATTTTCAATGCAAAAAAAATTCTTTAAAGTTCAGTTCAGTGAAAAGAATTTTTGCATCTAATAATGAACTCGGAAGTTGTGACATACGACTGAGTTCTTCTTGAATTCTCTGGGAACACTTTTCAATAGAATTCATCAACATCCTTGCAATTGGAGTAAAACTTTTTTAACTTCAGCAATATCATTGAAACTAATACAGCATATATTGTTTTAATAACTCGCGTATTAGCATCAGTGATATTGCTATTGAATCAAGAAGGTGTACTCTAGTTACACTGCTATTAACCAATTCTATTGGTTGAATAATATTTTTGTTCCCGTATGTTTTTCAAGTAAAATCGAATACGAGATTATGAAAAACTTGGGAATATTGTTAATAAATTTGACGAATAATATGACCAACAACGCGACTTGGTATTTGCTTGTTATTTATTCGGCATGACTGAAGAAAGTTAACTTATCGTTACTTCGTAACGAAGATCTCTCTGACCTGTAAGAAAGAAAACCTCGCGGCGATCTTGAGCGCGCTGAGCACCGAGACGATTCAGTCGCTCGCGAATGTCGGCCCGATCGGATGGATTTTCACGGGTGGAGGCATCTCCGTAGGCTGTAACGCGGCGATATCTCGCGCACGACAGCACTCCGGGCGATCTCAATTGGATCACTCGCGCGTAAAACGCCGGCAAAGCCGTGAAACACAGTCGCGACGGCGCATCACGCGGACTTTCATCGTGCTGGCTCGCGGAAGAGAGGGCGATCGCGCCGCTCGGCACGGCACTGCGCACCGTGTCTCGGAGGAATCGAGGTTACAATGCTGATACACACGCTAAGAAGGGGCCTCCTCGCGCAATTTCACGAGCTACGTGTACCTTTTAAAAGACGGAGACGAGCCTCTCTCGGCCGCGGCTCTTGTGCAAGCACGCCCGGGGTATTCACTTTTGATCGCGCGGCCAGGCGTAGGTGGGTTACCGCGCCGCCACACGTCCACTTGTTGCGAGCCGACGGTATATGTGTACATGTACACGTGTGTATGTATACGTACGCCCGATAATACCGCGACGCAAACTTTCCTCACGATTAGTTATCGCGCGCGCGCGCGCGTCAGATGCACTTTCTCGGCGCGTTCCGCCGCGCTCCGTCAAAGGCTCTCCAGGTAGACAGGTGTATGCACGTGAATTTGGCAGCAACTTTATATACTAGTCGATTTGCAAAGGTTGCGTCCCTTATGAATGGTTCATGTGTCACTCATATTTACGGATAGAATGACGAAATACGCGAAAATATTCTCGAGATTATATTATATGATGTCCCAGATTCGTTCCCGCAATTTTCGTGGGAACGTAGAACGGATTCGGATGAACGTAAAAGTCCCGTTTTGCGATGTTCGCAATAATAGTCGATTCGCAAAGGTTGCGTCCCTTATAAATGGTTCATGTGTCACTCATATTTACGGATAGAATGACGAAATACGCGAAAATATTCTCGAGATTATATTATATGATGTCCCAGATTCGTTCCCGCAATTTTCGTGGGAACGTAGAACGGATTCGGATGAACGTAAAAGTCCCGTTTTGCGATGTTCGCAATAATAGTCGATTCGCAAAGGTTGCGTCCCTTATAAATGGTTCATGTGTCACTCATATTTACGGATAGAATGACGAAATACGCGAAAATATTCTCGAGATTATATTATATGATGTCCCAGATTCGTTCCCGCAATTTTCGTGGGAACGTAGAACGGATTCGGATGAACGTAAAAGTCCCGTTTTGCGATGTTCGCAATAATAGTCGATTCGCAAAGGTTGCGTCCCTTATAAATGGTTCATGTGTCACTCATATTTACGGATAGAATGACGAAATACGCGAAAATATTCTCGAGATTATATTATATGATGTCCCAGATTCGTTCCCGCAATTTTCGTGGGAACGTAGAACGGATTCGGATGAACGTAAAAGTCCCGTTTTGCGATGTTCGCAATAATAGTCGATTCGCAAAGGTTGCGTCCCTTATAAATGGTTCATGTGTCACTCATATTTACGGATAGAATGACGAAATACGCGAAAATATTCTCGAGATTATATTATATGATGTCCCAGATTCGTTCCCGCAATTTTCGTGGGAACGTAGAACGGATTCGGATGAACGTAAAAGTCCCGTTTTGCGATGTTCGCAATAATAGTCGATTCGCAAAGGTTGCGTCCCTTATAAATGGTTCATGTGTCACTCATATTTACGGATAGAATGACGAAATACGCGAAAATATTCTCGAGATTATATTATATGATGTCCCAGATTCGTTCCCGCAATTTTCGTGGGAACGTAGAACGGATTCGGATGAACGTAAAAGTCCCGTTTTGCGATGTTCGCAATAATAGTCGATTCGCAAAGGTTGCGTCCCTTATAAATGGTTCATGTGTCACTCATATTTACGGATAGAATGACGAAATACGCGAAAATATTCTCGAGATTATATTATATGATGTCCCAGATTCGTTCCCGCAATTTTCGTGGGAACGTAGAACGGATTCGGATGAACGTAAAAGTCCCGTTTTGCGATGTTCGCAATAATAGTCGATTCGCAAAGGTTGCGTCCCTTATAAATGGTTCATGTGTCACTCATATTTACGGATAGAATGACGAAATACGCGAAAATATTCTCGAGATTATATTATATGATGTCCCAGATTCGTTCCCGCAATTTTCGTGGGAACGTAGAACGGATTCGGATGAACGTAAAAGTCCCGTTTTGCGATGTTCGCAATAATAGTCGATTCGCAAAGGTTGCGTCCCTTATAAATGGTTCATGTGTCACTCATATTTACGGATAGAATGACGAAATACGCGAAAATATTCTCGAGATTATATTATATGATGTCCCAGATTCGTTCCCGCAATTTTCGTGGGAACGTAGAACGGATTCGGATGAACGTAAAAGTCCCGTTTTGCGATGTTCGCAATAATAGTCGATTCGCAAAGGTTGCGTCCCTTATAAATGGTTCATGTGTCACTCATATTTACGGATAGAATGACGAAATACGCGAAAATATTCTCGAGATTATATTATATGATGTCCCAGATTCGTTCCCGCAATTTTCGTGGGAACGTAGAACGGATTCGGATGAACGTAAAAGTCCCGTTTTGCGATGTTCGCAATAATAGTCGATTCGCAAAGGTTGCGTCCCTTATAAATGGTTCATGTGTCACTCATATTTACGGATAGAATGACGAAATACGCGAAAATATTCTCGAGATTATATTATATGATGTCCCAGATTCGTTCCCGCAATTTTCGTGGGAACGTAGAACGGATTCGGATGAACGTAAAAGTCCCGTTTTGCGATGTTCGCAATAATAGTCGATTCGCAAAGGTTGCGTCCCTTATAAATGGTTCATGTGTCACTCATATTTACGGATAGAATGACGAAATACGCGAAAATATTCTCGAGATTATATTATATGATGTCCCAGATTCGTTCCCGCAATTTTCGTGGGAACGTAGAACGGATTCGGATGAACGTAAAAGTCCCGTTTTGCGATGTTCGCAATAATAGTCGATTCGCAAAGGTTGCGTCCCTTATAAATGGTTCATGTGTCACTCATATTTACGGATAGAATGACGAAATACGCGAAAATATTCTCGAGATTATATTATATGATGTCCCAGATTCGTTCCCGCAATTTTCGTGGGAACGTAGAACGGATTCGGATGAACGTAAAAGTCCCGTTTTGCGATGTTCGCAATAATAGTCGATTCGCAAAGGTTGCGTCCCTTATAAATGGTTCATGTGTCACTCATATTTACGGATAGAATGACGAAATACGCGAAAATATTCTCGAGATTATATTATATGATGTCCCAGATTCGTTCCCGCAATTTTCGTGGGAACGTAGAACGGATTCGGATGAACGTAAAAGTCCCGTTTTGCGATGTTCGCAATAATAGTCGATTCGCAAAGGTTGCGTCCCTTATAAATGGTTCATGTGTCACTCATATTTACGGATAGAATGAC